CAATGTGTCTGCCTCGGGGTTGCATGTTTCTGGAATTTAAGATGAGCTACTCTGAGAGGAAAAAAATACAGAAGCAAAATGGAGATGAAATTGTCATAGATTATGAGGTCTAAATAGTACAGAGAGAAAATATGAAAAACTAGAGTGTTTGCAGTGTCTTGCTCTAAGACATCTTTCCAAAAGCATAGCAAATGTTGGTAGCTGTATTTTTAATGAAAAAAAAAAAAAAAAGTTGAAAGGGATGATACAGTAAATTTTGCCACCTGTTCCTACCAACCTGCATGACCTATTTATTGCAAATAGACCAACAAACATCTGGAAGACTGTGCAATAGACCTTATCTGGTGCTGAAGCTGCAAGGGGAAATGTTTCACTTCTCTCATACAGTTCTTCCTGTGGCTAAAGCAGGTGGGCAGCCAGAAATGGAGGTGTGAAATGTGAAAATGGACAGGGAACAGGGGGTGTTTTTTTCATTATTTGACAGTTACGGGATCAGATGTGAGTGAGTTGAGCAGCCGTTCCCACAACATGGCATTCTCAGTTGCTGTTTGGCTTCCCAGAGCTTGCTCCAAGTGTCATCACTTGTCCCTCCCCACATCTGAGGCAGCAGAGTTTGCATGGGATGCAGTGTGGCGATTTGAAGCCAAACAGGCGCTCAGTGATTTCTAGCAGAGCTTCCTTCCATCCTGCTTAGCTTCTAGTCAAGGAGCTGGTTTCTTCTCAAGAGGTCCTTGTAGAGACGTCCCAGATGGCTTTGAGAAGTGGAAGATGTTAGTTCCTGCCAGCTGTGCCAAGGGGCTCCTCATGCAGCGTAACTCGTCGGTGGGGGGACTATCTGGGGATGAATAGTCCCTCTGTGCCACCTCACAACCTTGATGTTGTCCTTGCTTAATTCAGTTTCACTTCAGCACCTGTCAGTATGGAAACGTTGCACAGGAATGTTACTGGACAATAGCTGGTCAAAAATCATCCGTCCTGTCCTAGGTTTATGCAGCTGTTGCTGGCTTTCTGTCCTACTCAAGGCATCTGCCTGACGCAGAACAGAAATACTGGCCATGTCACGGCTTCCAGCTTTGCCAGCGTCAGACTTGTTCCAAACCACACATGGTGGCTATTCCTGCAGCTCAGTACTGACACATGCTAAAAGCGGGTCACGTCAACACGCACGTGGCCCCACCAATACCCCTGTGGGTGAAGCTGGAGTCAGCATCAGCAAGGAAGACTGGGATAGGGAGGGTCATGTTGGATCACCTCACATTTTCCCTAGCATGGTGAATTGTTTGCGAGTTAAGCCTATTTTTATTCATGGCTGTGCTGTTTAGTCTTCATGTTAGGAATAGTGCTTATTGTGAAGGGTCATGGGATTTTGTTATGAAAGCTGGTGGGAGCGGGGATGTGAGGAGGGTCAGTACACAGTAACAGCCAGCCACACACAGTATAAGCTTGGTAAAAGCTGTTTGTAGCTTTACTTCCCAGGTCCAGCTCCCTTCCCTTTAGATTGCAGGCTTGAGAGTACAATGTTTATTCACTGAATACACTACTAAGAAACTAACACAGCGATTAAATGATTAAAAGCACACACAACTCTAAAACCAGTTATCATTCTTAAAACTTGCAGATTACACCCAATGATATTGCATTACAATCCTAGCCCCCTTGCCTCCCCACCGCTGAGCATCAGGGTGCAAGCCTACCTCTCCTCACTCCACTCTCCCACACTAAGCTGTTTGGGCAGAGAGCTGATGGTGGGGAGGGGGTCCAGCAGGGCTGTCCAAGGAGTTTCTCCCCGGTGTCCTGGTGGGCTCGGGTCTGCAGCTCAGCATCCCTCCAGCACGGAGGCATCCACACTCCTCCTGTCAGGAATCCCCCTATGTTGTTCTTACCTTCCCCCACTTTCTCTATTTCTGGACCCACTTTTTCACTGCCCTTGTACCATCCTTTCTCCACCCAACTCCTCCCAAAAAAACATTCTGCTTATGTTATCTTCCCACACTACCACTAGCAGTGAGGCAACACACATACAACTTTCGCTGTTACCAGATAGCACTGGAGTTCCCATTCTGCCTCCTTCCCACTGACACATGGTGATACCCACGGTGTTCTTCAGGGTTCATTACGTGGTGTAGATCATACGTGCTGTGAAGTTGTTCCACTTCCAACAGTGGCTGGTTAGACTTAAGGGCTTACTATATGCTCACGTTCCCTTTCTAAATCAGGTTCCCATAGCCCTGCACCCAAGACTTTCATTAGCCTAATGCAAGGTTTTATATCCCACTGTTCACACCCCTCCTTCAATTCGTCCCCAAGCCACCATCCCATCGCTGAAGATCCATCCCATTCCCAAGACAAAAACCAGCACCACTCCTCTGGTGCCCTCCTGACACAGGACTCGCTGCAGTATCACCCATGAGAAAGGAATTAACTCCTTACAAAAAGCATCTAACCACTGGTTCACTGTTTCAGTTGCCAGCAGTTGTGCTTGGTACAATAAATAGCCACCGATACTGTTCAACTGAACACCTCAGTGGTATGTTCTGTTAGACTGGCAGTCCCTTTTGCCACGTGCCACTTTCGGCTATCCAAGGTGGTTATTGTCGCTGCATCAGATAACCATCCCAAGTTTGTTACTGAATTACTTTGTACGGGATTCAAAATTCATCCCTACACCCCCATCTTCCTGAGTTTAGCTGAGAGCATTACAATATCAATTAATTTAGGATTGTTAAATGTCAGATGTGCTCATACGTTCTATATTGTTTCCATGATATTTGCCAGGCAGCCAGTATGCCAGGCAAGTTTTGCCCAGCAGGCTGTACAGAAAAGGCACACTCTGAAAGTGTTCCAGAATAACTCGTTTCTGGCATTCCCTATTTCATTCCATGTATTACAGGATGAATACCAGGCTTTGTTTGGATACACTCAGTGTCCCAAACTAACAGGCAGCATATATAGGCTGATATAACTGTGTACCTCTAGTATTACTTTGGGTGCAAAGGTACCATGCAGACTCCATGCAACTTCTGCATCTGCCCCATATTGTGCTCCCATACAAAAACCTATTTGTTCCATTTTTACTCATTCCTCACCCCTTCAAAGGTAAAATCAGTTACTTCTAAAAGGACTATTAACAAATACTCATTACTTGGACACCAAGCATTTAAATCTGTTCCCATTGTCTTGAGACTAAATGTTAAAACTCCCTTGAGATCTTGAGGGAAAGCACATGCCAGCAGCTGTTGCGTGTTTTTACACCTTTAACAAACAGAATGAAGATTAAAGGAGCTGGAATACTTTAACAATATACCTGATAATCAGCACATCAGCCCAAGATTTTCCTAGTTCATGTTGAATCCAAACTGCTCTATCCTTCTTAGTACTTCTCTAGACTAGTCCCCATAACCAAGGCGCCGTCCATGCAACCAGTCACTCCTCATGCCTCCCAGCTCTCCATTAGGAATGGGCCAGACCAAGCCATTCCACCAGCTCTCTCCCTCTCCTGCAGTCCCTCTCTTGAGCAGCCCTTGCATTACTATGTACAATTTTACAAGCCCCTTCCTTACCGCCCTGATCCCGCTCCCATGTTCCAGCATTCCCACACACTTGATCCCAAACCGACCTCCATCTTTCTGTGGTCCCTGGGCACATCTCCCTGCTCCACAGTTTCTCTGTGTATGCCAAGATCAGAGGTCACCGCTTCCTTTCTCTGCTCTGATACCCAGATGAAGGCACACGCATATTCCCACACGTACAGGCAGCTACCGCTCGGGCATTTGTCTGGGGCATCCCCCCACACACACACACATTAGCTGTTAAGAGTCTCAGAGTTTTCTGAATTCCTGGTCACTCGTCTGAGCATTTTTTTCCATCACCTCATCAGCAGGCAAGGCTGTAATAATCGCCCCTGCCTTCTGCCAAGGCAATCCTACCGCCGCTATCACCCCCTCGGCCTCTTCACCCTCCAAAGGACTACTAGCTCCCAAAGTCCAGGTTCGGCCAACCCACACGGGCCGTCCCACCACCAGCCCCCTTGCCGGTTTTTTCCAAACCTTCTCCTTTCGGGGCACCCCTCTCCCCGTGCCGCACCTCTGGGCTGTTAAAGCCTTACCCCTCGCCCTGTGGATTTGGTCTTTCCAGCTGCTCCGGGGCCCGC